ACTGTATCCAGACCTTTTCCTGGACAATGGCAACATATGGCAGGATCATCAGAACATCTTTCTGTCTGCAGAGTAATTCTTGTAGAATTATTATTTCAGCTACAAGTGTTTTTCCACCACTAGTTGGCAATGAATATATTAAATTCCTTCTTTGTTGTAGAGATTCTAACATTAAGCAATCATGCTGCCAATCTGCAAAATTAAGAAAGAAGTATTAGCAGCCCCAGAAGCACATTAATCAATATAAAAAAATGCCTATGCTTCCTATAGACTACTTTAAGTCCAGTGTTTGAGTTCTTCTTCAACAGAACACTAAAAGCTGTTAGTGATTGAGCCTTCTAAAGTATTCTATAGACTGTATCAAACTTTCCTACCCACCTAAACACCCAAAATAACCACTTAATAAAACAAACACTTTCCAACATGGTTTACATTAAATAGTACCTTAACTTAAATATTTTTACAGTGTTAATGGGTAAAACGGGCAACTCTTCACTAGTATTTCTTTCTCAACAATTAGTTACATTACCATAAAGCATCTCAATCCCTCGAAATTGCCTGAACAGATCTTTAACTTTGCTAGGTAATCCATAGAAAGGGCCTATATCAACAGAAGAAGATGCAATAGTTTTTCTAGCAACACAAATCTCTTCAGATAAAACAGCTTCTTGAAGCTGCTTGGTTTTAGAGACCTGCAGAGTCTGGGCTTTGGCATTTCCAGTCATAGCACTTTTTAGATGCTCTTTAAGACTTTCAGTTTTAAATAAATCACTCTTGGAGTCTGAGGAAGAGTCAGTAGGTCTGTTTCTGTGTTCAGCATCATGACAAAAAGATGATGTATTCCTGATTTTCTCTAAGGAAGAATTCACACATCTGTTCCTCCCTTCTGAGGCTGGAGATATTCTAGAAGCAAAAGATAGTTCATCCATTTTCTCAAAATACAAAAGTTGTGATGATGGCAATTCATCTAAAATAGAGTCAGTCTGCTCTTGATTGTTATCCACTACATCCCTTTCACCCACTTGGGAAACATCCTCCTTGTCAGCTTTAAGGATAACCGTATTTTCTGGAATAGAAAAATTATCTTGTTTCTTCTGTGGAAGTCCTGGCTGAAGATTCCCAGGTATGATTTCTCCAGGTGCTTTAATAACCAGCTTTTCATCCTGCAGGTATTTGTGCTCTATATCATCAACTTGAGCTAGCAAAGAATCATTTCCACAAAGGCTGTCATAGTCACCAAACATATCTTCTTCGCTATCATTATCACACTGTAAAAAAATAAAAAGTATTAGTACTCCAAAGTAACACCAAGGAAGGCAGCACATCTTGCACAACACATACGAGATGCAAACCATTTAAGCCTTTTCCAACTTCAGAAGAAACGTATATGATTTTCTGATGTTATGAGGAAAACCTAGCTTCACTTCTAAGTGAACTTGCAGCGAGTGAAGCTTAACCTACAAGTAGGCATGATGCCGGCTAAAGTCAAACTACATTCCCTCTCATATAAAGTAAGGCACTCCCTGATAGACACCACACAGGCTGAGGCTGGGCCAAGCCATCCTCCCAGGTGGTGTTCCCTCCACCTCGATACGCCCGCCTGCACCCTGCCACCCCCGTACCGAGATCTCCGCCGGGGGCCCTTCTGCGGAGCTCAATCTCTTACGAGCCACCGGTGAGCAAACGGCGCTAGGTTGCACCGAGGCCCGGCTCCGCTTGCGGACAGAAGCGGGGCAGCTCTTCCTCCGCACCGCGAGTCGGGGCTCAGCCATCACCGCCACCCCGTGAAGCTGAGGGACGTAGAGCCTCCGCCCGGCGCTGCGAAGAAGCGGTACGGAGAGCGTCACTGCCGCAGCAGATTACGACTAGGGACGGCCGAACAGCCAAGAACGGATGTGACCGCCATGAGACGAACGAAAATCCACCGGCACCTCTAACAGGGGCGAACATTACTTCCGCCAATACCCTGCTAAGACACAGAACCCGCGGCCAGGCAACGACCAATTGGCTGCCTCCAGCTGGGCGGGCCGCGGTCCCATTGGCCAGCTAATCGCATCTGTGAGGGCGGTCGGGCAGGCGAATGACCTATAGTCGGAGATGACGCTTGTGGGCTGCAGGGGGCAACATGGCGGCGCGGGCTTTGGGGGCTCGGCCCTGGCGGACACTGAGGCCTGGTGTGTTCCTTTGCTTTATTCCTTTAGAGCGAGGTGGCTGTGGGGAGGAAAGTTGCGAGCTGGTCTCTCCTGCTGTGCTGCCGCTAACTGTGACTCTTTATCCCTTACAGCGGCGTTGTGGGTGCGGCCGCATCGCCTCCAGCATGAGCAGCTGCCCAAGCAGTCCGACCAGGTGAGGTAGCCCCGCGAACTCCGCGTCCTCTGCCTGCGCCCAGGCCGCTGCCGCCCTCGGCAGGAGGGGCTCAGGTCGGGCAGCGGAGGTGTCCGAAAGTGCCTTGGTTTTCGCGTAACTTGGGCTCCTGAAAAGCCCCCCTGAACTCAAGTAACTAGGGCTTCTAAAAGAAAACCAACTCTGAATTCAGTTACTTGGGGTGTTACAGAGGAGGGACCCCGTGCTGAGGGAAGACACCAGGTATTCCAGGTGAAGGTGCCGTTGAGCTATAGCCCAGGATCTTAACTGTGGTCATGTAAATCAGCTGTCCGAGTAACACAAATGTGGAGCAAAATGTTTGGCAGAACTGATTTCTTGCATGTAGCTGAGAAATAAGGGCATGTAGTGATAGGACAAGGGGGAATGGCTTTAAGCTGACAGAAGAGATTTAAATTACATACTAGGAAAAAAATTCTTTATTATGAGTGTGGTGAGGCACTGGCAAAGGTTGCCCAGAGAAGCTGTGGCTGCTTCATCCCTGGCAGTGTTCAAGGCCAGATTGGATGGGGCTTTGAGCAGCCTCGGCAAGTGGAAGGTTTAGAACTGGATGGTCTTTAAGGTCCCTTCCAACACAAACCATTCCATGAACAGACTAAAGCGAATTCATTGCATGTAGTTATGTCATAAAAAAGTGTTGTCCTGTACAAGGAAAAACTTTTAAAGATACTGTTTCTCTGCCCAATTCTATCTATGCCTGTATTTTTTTTTTCTTTCTCCTATCGTGTTCTGAAGCTTGATGAGCTATTCAGGGCTTAGTAAATATTTGAGAATCTCTCTGTTAAAGTGTGTGGACAGGAGGTCCCTCAGGCCATTTACTTTGAATTTATATTCAGAAAAGTCTCTTCAGACTTACCAGGCAGAATTGCCTTACTACCAGCTTCCCTGGATATTGCTTTCTAAAGTAAAGGGTGTAAGCACTATCTATTAATTAGAATAGAATAGTTAGTTAAGGTTGGAAAGGACCTTAAGATCATCTAGTTCCAACCCCCTGCCATGGGCAGGGACACCTCACACTAAACCATCTCACCCAAGGCTCTGTCCAACCTGGCCGTGAACACCGCCAGGGATGGAACATTCACAATTGCCCAAGGCAACCCATTCCAGTGCCTCACCACCTTAATTAATTGGCTTGTTACATTATTACTAATATATAAAAGGCTGTGTAGGTGTGTAAAGCCTTTTAGATTGCTAGATGACTGTGTTAAGAGAAATAGAGATAAGTTATTGAAAAACTTCATTGATGCACTAAATACCTCTTGCTTTCAAGGCATGTTTTGCCCAAAGAATAAAAATATAAAATATTTCTTAGTTTCTTGTGAAGCTTACAGGTGTTAACAGATCTCTTAATTTCAGCCCATACAAATGGAGAATCCCTATAAAGAGCCTCCAAAAAGATGTGTCTTATGTGGGATAAATGTGGACTACAAGAATGTGCAGGTGAGTTAAAAAATTCCTGTTCTTAAATGATGGAAACTGGTTTACTAATTTTAAGTGTGTATAGGAAGTCTACCATGATAAAAAAGTAAGAATTTATTCATATGTGTAGGGGTTTAAAACTTAAGAGCAAGAATGTGTGCAGATAATGGTCAAATAATGTAGTTGTGCTAAACTGTTCAATCTACTAGACTTGTGTGCTGGTGTTAAAAATTTATTTTATCAAATAGTTCTTGGTTCTAATACCACTTAAATGCTGTGGCATAGAAAATACTGTAGCTCTAAATTATACTTTTTCTTGTCTCTAGTTTAAGAACATTAAAGAAAGAAAACCAGAATGCAAGTAATAAACTAAAGCTGTCTTAAAGTTCTTAAACTGATTTTGGATTTCTTCATTTTAAGTAGCTTCTTTCCCAGTTTGTTTCTCCGCATACTGGACGCATTTATGGCAGGCATATAACAGGTATGTGAAATATTAAATCACTAAATACTAATGTTAATGGGGTTTGTGAGTCAGAGTAACTGTATACTGGTTATCTTTCCAGAAGTAACTACTACCAACTCCATACATTCTGTAAGAGTACTCCTCTGACTTAGTGGCCTGCTTCAAGGAATTAAAATAGTCCTTAATTATATGCATTTCGTATTTAATAGTATAAGCTCACATGCATTTGTCTAGGAAGACCTAGGCAAAGCTAGAGGGAATTGCCAGTAATATCCCTTTCACCCTTTAAACTAATGGTTTGGTAGTTCTTGATTTAAGAGGCTGACAGTGATTCATCTCTTTAGGCTTGTGCAACAAGAAGCAGAAAGAAATTACGAAAGCCATTAAAAGAGCTCAAGTAATTGGTAAGTATGACTATGCTTTTGAATTTTCTCAGTCAGGCTTACTTTTCTATTAAGAAAAACCTCCATCTTATCTTTTTACAGGATTTATGCCAGTTATGTTTAAGAACCCAGCATTTCTCACAGACCCCAAGATATGTAATATTAAGTATCCAGAGTAATACACTGTAAAGAAATAAACAATAAAACTACTTTCCATGATCATATGCTTGTTTACTGGAAATGCAGTTGGCTAGTACCAATGCATTGCTGACTGAAGGGTGGATGTCAGTTTTTTTTATGTTTTGTTTTTTTTTGTTTGTTTGGTTTTTTTCTTTTGTTTTTTTTTGCTTGCTTTTTTATGAAGTGCCACATCTCTAGAATATATTGTCAGAAGTACAGAAGATGAAAGCAACAACAAAAATTGGCAGCTGCATGGACCGCTTCCTCCACTTAAAGTCTTGCCAAAGTTGAGGTGGCTGTTCTTTCCCTTGTAGGATTGGAAAGGGGAGGAATAAACAAGTACTAGATACCTAAAGAGAGATTAAAGTAGTTAAATTGTGACAGTTTATGCAAACAGAATTCTGGTAAGCATGTTACCACTTCTCCAGCAGCAGCTTCAAGTTGTATTACTCTGAGGCAGTATGTGATATGGTTATATGACTAATAACATACTGCTACTATAGTCTTTAAACCCTGAGAGAATACAGATCTAGCCCTGTAAGGCAAAATGAGGGAATGTCATCTGGACTTGTCTCTGTGCCAAACAGGATTCATCCATTGGAGTTAAAAAAAAAAACAACTGTTTTGCAAAAATGCACTATGATACTTTCATCCCTGCAGTACTATAAATCGATATGTCACTTGAGTATGCTGGCAGTAGCTCTTGGTGGGAGGTCTGGATCTGGACAAATCTTTAATGGATCAGAAAGTAGGAGATTGTGGGTATTCATTTGTGTCTGTCTTGTCAAATGAATCCTCATCTGTTCCAGTACTACTCAGTGTAAGCTTCCTTTCCTGGTCACTGTCCTCTTGGTCTTGAAGTAATTTTTGGTGAAGCTGCAGTGATCTGGATTTCTTGAATGACTTTGATCCTGTTGTGGTCCATCTGACTTTACGCTTGGTTAAGTGTCTTGTTTCAGCTTCAGTGACGTCCTTTTCCTCTACCATGAGAGTTAGTTTGTCCTTGACATTAATGTTATGGTCAATGTTACAGCAGTTCTTTGGTATATGTTGGCCTTTCAAGGAAACAATACATGCCTGAAGTCCAGAATTGGGGAAAAAAGTTTGCAGTGCCTGACAAAGGAGAACATTCTCCTTTGGCTCTCCTGCGCAGTCTGTGACTTCTGGAAAAAAAAAAAGTACTAGAGTTGCAGTCCCTCTTGTACATTACTACCACTACTGTTTTGGCTGCCTCAAGATTGGAATTGGCTTCTGCCAATTGAATCCATTTTGGAAGTCTTACTGAGACTGGTGTTACATTTATTTAACTTACCTGAACAAGTCTGTTGCTTTTTCCTCTTGATTTCTTCTTTTAATTGGGTCACCTCTGCTAAGAGTTTCTCTACAGATCGTTCACTGACTTCTACTGTAGAGCATATTTTCTGCAAGGAAAAGAGCATTCAGTGGGATTAACAGTATCCACAGGTGAATTTAACCTTGTTGCAATACTCTTAAAGGTACTTGCAAGTTGGACACAAAGTAGCGAAAAGCTTAAGTAATGAGGCAGATTCTAGAGGTAACTTAAACCTTGTGTTGTATGAGGTGCAAGATACCTTATTTGTTCCATCTAAGCAAAGGAGATGTAACAAACTACAGGTAATTAGTCCTTCAAAATAATCCTACTGTGAGAATTTAGTGGGCTTGAGGATTTGTCAGTGTACTTTTTCATCAAGTGCAAACTGAACTCTTCAGCTCTGAGAACTTGATAGCAAATGCACCTCCCTGATCTTTCAAAGACAGCTTTAGTTCTTTAGTGAAAGATGGCGTACCCTTTGCTTGACTTATTTTTGTAGTACTGCTGACAGTAATGGTATTGGCAGATGTGCCTGACTTACCTTCAGTTCCTCCTGCAAGGTGGCATACATCTCGTTTATCTTGTGAACCTCTTGTAAGGACCCATCTTCATGAAAGAATTCTGACCTGCAGACCAAGATGATAATTGTGTAATTGCAAGTTAATGACCTCAGTGCTTGCTTAGTAGGAGATACAATATATAAAGAAGCTTTCTGAGCTTCAACAATAGGTGCCGATGTTGAGACAGACAGCTCTCATGACAAAGTATGGGACTGAACCAAGTACCTTAGAAAGGAAGATAGTTGCAGGAAACAGGTCAAAAAAAGTGAGCAGGGAATGGCTGTAGCATTTGCAAAAGCGCTTAAAAAAAAAAAATACTTTCATAGGAAGATGACTGTACTTAACTGAAATCTACAGCTATCAATGAATAAGGTATATATGGTACCTGTGTTGTCTCACTGCTCTCACAAACCCTGACGATACACAGGAGCCAGATACTGTTCTGTAACCTTGCTGTTCTGCCATACCCAAGTTGGTAACCACCAAAGGAACTTTCTGGAAAAGACTTAAAAAGCGGAAGTACAAAAATATGATTTATTAAACATCCAGAGGCCTCTCTTGACCATTAAGCATCCCAGATAGTTTTACAGTGTAGTCAGTTCTTGCTAAATGCATTAGATAACACATAAATGACTGCTAAAGGCAAACTGCAAGAGCAACAAGATCTGATCAATGCCTCTAGTTTTTTTCCCATTTCTGTATGAGTCACAGAAACATGATAGTTGTTTGTTACACCCAGCCTAGGGGCAGCAGGTTTCTGAAGAAAACTGCAAGTTACCACCAGTTTAAATATTTCAGTGATATGTGAAGATGAACACCATGGATAGTTGAAGTCCAATACATTAAATTGATCAAAAACATAAATTGATCATTTATGTGCATAAAGTGTCTGCCTATTGACACTAGCACTACAAATAGGTATAAAGCAAAATCTCTGAACAGAGCTCCAGTGTAAGATTTCAGCTGGGCTCTAGCAATATAAGGAATAAGGTTATTTAATGTATAAGTTTCAGGGGTAAAATAAAGTGTTACCAGTAACTCAGCTGCAATGAAGAAAACAAACTGTGTTAAGTTATAGCACATCTGTGCTACTGCTTCATTAGAACCGGAGAACAAACAAGTTACCCTTCTTGTGGCCGATGTAAGGCATGTTCCAGTCTGTAAGTAGAACAACTTTCTGTCATAACACTAGAAGTTAATAACAGGAATACAAGGCCCTGGTTTGATAGGTGTGACTGTAAATTCTTATGAAGAAGTCTTTCCCGGAATGTCATGGCCTGGTCTGTGTTACGTCTGAATTTGTACCATCCTATTACATTCTGCAGGAAGAAGAAAATTTATTGCTGTTGATTAATGCTGCTTCTGTGTGTCAGGAAGCAAGTTAGATCATTCAGTACAAAATCACAGATCTGAACTGTTCCATGCCGTGTACATATTCAAACATCTAGTTACCTTGAAAACCTTAAAACATCTAAGCTGAACTCTAGGATGACAACTTCCCTCTTTCCTTCAAAACCATGTGTTGAACTGGCCTGTTTTCTGAGCTTGTGCTCAAGCTGAAACTGCAAATTTTGTTCTGTTATTTTGCTGTGTGTCTCTTTCCAGCTTGTACTTTCACCTTGAGAAACTTTATTCTGTGGAGAAAACTTACTCTATTTTGATCAAATACCACTTTAATGGGCTGACTTCAACTGAGCTTAATCTAGAAGTCAGTAGAACACCTTTGGGATATTTGAACTGTTTACTTGAAAACAAATAAGAACAAAGTTGTGACATATGCAGGCAAACCATAGTCAAAAATAATCTCATCTGTTTGTTTTAGGGTTAAAAATGATGCAGCTACCTTGACCAGCAGTGTGAGTGACTAGATACAAAATTTTTTAAAAGGGGGGGAGGGGGAAAGCTTGATTCCAGAGGTGTCCAGAATCGCCCTCAAAATCTGAGTGAGCTCCATGGTATGGTTTAAGCTTGAAAATAAAATACCTTCTTACAGCCTGATAATATTTTCTTCAGTGCAAGTTCGTCCAGTTCTCCTGCAGAATTATAAAAGCTAGAAGAAAATTAGAACAATTAGAGGAAAAAAGAATGCAACTGTAGAAATAATTATTCCCTAGCAGTCTGGCAGTCCTCTCAATAGCTTTTTTTACCCTGTTAGGCATAACGATATGCTGACACAGCTTCTCTTATAAGACAGTACAGTTAATTTCATTACTCAAATAGCTATGTAGGTGGTCTTGTACAGCCCAGATGCTGTCCTAGCATCAGTGCTACTGGGACACGTTAAAGGTAGCATCTGTGTTCTCTCAAACCAAAATAGTAAGATGCCTTCAATTTGATATGAAATGTCTAATAACATCTGGGTTTATTAATTTTCAGAAAGATTTGAGGATGAGACTGTTGTGATTTTGCTCTCACAGGGGTGTAAACTTGACCTGCTGTATCTAAGTAACTAGTGCTTGAAACTGCTCCTGCCATGGCTCTAACAAGCATTTTGTTTTCTGACCCACTTAAAAGCCTCTGGCTGATGCTTTTTCTTTTTTTTTTTTTTTTTTTTATGGTGACACAGTGGGATGTATGGTTTTTGAAAAGCAATGCATTTTATTTATTTTTTTTTTAGTATGTTGACATTATTGTGTAGTTTAGATGATATCATAACTCACCAGAAGGTAGGGAATGGCATATCTCTTTCTGTATGCAGAGGCAAACACCAAAAAAAGGGCATGATAAACCAGAATAGGAATAACATAAGGCATTTCGAGAGGTTGATATGGCTACTGTAGTTACAGCCAGGTGATTTTCTCAGTAATGTAATGTAAGTTTAAATCTTGAAGAGTTCAAGTTAGAGTTAATTTAAAAATTTTCATATTTGCTCATTTAAGTGTCTCACCTGAACAACTGGTAGCATGGAATATGCTTCTGTATGTCTGGAAAGAGAAGGTAATATTACTTTGGGTTCATCAGTTCAAGATGTGTATTCTTCTGTATACTATGATCAGAATTGCACTGGTAGAAGACAAAGAATTCTATATAATTTCTTAAAATAAAATACTTTGGCATCTGATTAAATAAGGTTAAGAAAGGAAATATTTTAAAATATTCTAATTTTTCAAATGTAAAAGGAACCGTTTATGAACTATTTTTAATACATTTTAAGTGAAAAATCAAGCTGGGCAGTTCATTTTTCCCTTTGTTCTGGCCAGTACAGGAATAGTATGTAATACAAAATATTTCACTTCAGTTCACTTCACTGCAGCAAGGCATGGATGCTCTTAGTGAGATGAGGCTGGAGAACAGAAACCTGTAGTGTAAATGGTGAGAACTGGAAGACTGACTACCAGAAGGAAAAACACTAAGTGATCTAATGGCATGATAAATCTTTTCCTTTACCTAAATTCACCACTTCCATTTTCACCTTTAACCTGATAAGATACTTGGCAAAGGAGCTGTTAAAGAAACTAAGAGCTAGTATTTTTGTTCAGTTATATTTTCTACAGTAAAATTGGTTTGGTGCTTTTTTTGTGGGTGGGTTTTGTTATTTTTTTATTGTGTAATTAAAATGTTACAAAATAATCCCTTTGGTGTTTGTTTTTTTGGGTTTGGTGGGGTTTTTTTTCATTGACATGGATCCCTGGCTCTAGCAGTTTTGATCACTTTCTAAGATGTTGACTGCCCTAATTGAAAACTAAGCAGTCGTATATTGTGTAAAACCAAGCATGGTATTAAAAATGCAGACAGACTGACCGATTGTATACACAACTTCAACATCATCCATTTGTGAGTCAGTAATGCTGTTCTTGGCTTCACCTTTCACATCTCCAAGGAGAAAACCTTCCTTTATAGGGGAAGAGAGAAAGAAGTTCACATTAACAGCACCACTGAACGCGACTTTGTCTAATGTTAACAGCGTATGTGCTGTCTTTCCTTCAGGAAAGGAAAAAAAGCTGTCAAGATCAACTGTTTTTCCTAGATTCTCTCGCATTTTTCTGTATCTGCTCATGTTTAAGGAAGAAAAAGGCTGGAATGTGCACTCAGCTGTTTCCCATTCCTCTTGTTTTCACTCGCAAGTGAACAGTTTGGGGCTGTACAGGCGATGCCCAGCTCCGAGGCTTAGGCCAGGCAGCCTCACCAGCATTCCGGTCAGCCCTTGGCAGGCACGGCGCTGCTGCCACCACAGCAGCGTTCGGCGGCCTGCACCGCCTCGTTTGGAAACAACCACGCTTTCCCGCCATGCAGCACGGAATGCAACCTCCACGGCAGCCGGGGGCACCGGGGAAGGAGAACGCTGCAACACCGCGTCCCAGCACAGCAAGCCGTGAGGCCCTCCCAGCACCAGGGTCCAAGCAGGCAGCAGCGCGCCCGCCCAACGGGGACGGGAGAACCCGACGGCGGGCCCGGCCATGGCGGCGGCGGCGCCCCTCCTTCTGCTCCCCCCCGCCCGCGATGTCAGCCTCGCCCCGCCCTGTCCCCTCCCGCCTCTCGTGACAGAGGTGGCCGTGGCACTCACCGTGTCCGAGTCGGTGCTGAGGTGTTGGAAGGCGAGGGCGCCGAAGACGAAGCCCGACAACAAGGCAGACGTGCTCTCGCCCTCCATGCCCCCGACAATGGCGGGCCGAGCCGCCGCGGCGGGAGCCCCCAGCGGCCGCCGCCGGCAGGGCAGGGCCGGAACGGGCACATCCCGCTCGTGAGAGCGCCGGAGGTGTGCGGGGCCCGGGCAGCAGCCTGGCCCGGGCCTATCCAGAGGGGCGCGGGCTGTACTCAGCCCTCGTCTCCGCCGTGCCCGCTTCAGCGCTCCTTAGCTGTCCCGTTCTCTTTCCGCCACCTGCCCGGCGAGGCTCAGTGCAAACCTGCCGTTTCAGTTTGCCTTGAGTGGCGTAATTCTTAAGCCTACATTTCTGTTTTGTTTTTACCGTGTAAACAATGCTCAGATTTAGGAAGGCAGCTCAGTCGCCCTGCAGTGTCATGTGTGGCTTCTGGGGGTAAGGACTGCAGATGCAGCAGCAAGGGGTTCCTGGGGGCAAGGTGAGGTGACCTGGCCTCAGTAGTGCCTGGCTGGTCACATGCCTGCAAGCCTCAGGACGTATGTCTCTGTCCACAAGTCAGGATCTGAGCTTATTGGAAACACCTCACTGGTCTGTACTAAGAGGTTTAGTGAAGCATCAAACCAGCATTGAAACAGAACTGCCTGATCCACATTGCCTGTCTGGGAGTGTGGGTGGAGAAAGCTGGGTTCATGTCTTTGGAGTGGGAAGATTGTGTCATGCCAGCCTGCAATATGAAAAGGCAGGGCACCGGCTACTGGCACTCCTATCTGTAACAAGGTTGTACCTTTTGAAACAGGACAATGAAGCTGTATGTCTGGAGGTGCATTGTATTGTTTAGGGTCATGGTGAGAGTCTTCTGAGTTAGTAACCTAATAAATTGTGATAAGGAAGTAATAAAGGGAGAGATAAAAGTGGCGGTGTGCTTTGAAACGTGATCAGAGATCTAGTCTAAACTCCCTTTCACTTCAGAAGAGCAATGTTTGATTTCATCCCTCACCAGGACTATAGCTAAGTATATTCTTAGCCTGACTCTTGAAATAGGATGTGTGCTCTTTTGGTCTTTCAAAAGGTATTCCCATGACTTTGGGATCTCATGGCTGTATTTTTAGATTGCATATAAAATTGACCCTTTTAGTGCAGTAAGAAATCCAGGAGGTTCCTGGATTATTTCCTGGGTATCTTCCTTCTCCAGGTGATAGAGAAGCTAATGAGAAAAGGTGCCATGCTGGATCTTGTCCTCACCAACAAGGAGGAGCTGGTGGGGAATGTGGCCCTGCAGTGACCATGAGATGGTGGAGTTCAAGGTCCTTAGGGTGGAGAGGAGCATGCACAGCCAGGTTGCTACCCTGGACTTAGGAGAGCTGGCTTTGGCCTCTTCAGGGATCTGCTTGGTAGAGTACTGAGGCATAAAGCCTTGGAAGAAGAAGGGCTCAAGAAATCTGGTGACCCTGCACATGGCAGGGAGATTGGAACTAGGTGATCTTTAGGGTTGCTTCCAACCCAAACAATTCTGTGATCTCTGAATAAGGGGGTAATGAGTCTCCAGATGATACAGAATGGTGACAAGATTAATGGAAAAGAGCTGGTATGCATTTCTTGCAGTGCAGGCCATGTGATGCTAAACAAATGGGTAATAAGTACAACACAACCGAAGTGGTACATTGCAACAAATGACTGCTATGAGCCATGTTGCTGTGGTGGAGGCAACAAGAACATGGATAAGGCCAGTTTCCACAGCTGTTGGTGGAGAAAATGGTGAATGCTGGCATCTTTCAGAATTGCCTCAAGTGACCCTGTGCTGTGGTTGCACTCACTTCTAAGCCAGAGCTGTGGGAAAATTTTACACATTTAATCAATTCAATAAATGTTGGGCAGGTGCTGACAGATTATTCTGTGGCATACACCATGGATGATACACAAACCATATACAAGATTTATAGTGACAATGTATGAGATACATACTGGCCGTCATGTAATGCCTACACATCTGGTGTGTATCTATACACTCTGAGGCAAACATGCAGTGGGAACATGTAGTGGACTTCCCATTTTTGTGACACAAAGATGCAAGCTTACAATGCTACAGAATATGATAAAAAAGTTTCTGTAATTGTTGCATTTATCTTGGGTGGAAACAATAACACTTGTTGTCATGTGTTGCAGTCATCCTGATAAGTGATACAAGACTTAAACGTACTTCTTCAGTATTTTCCTAGTTCAACTGTTGGTATCCGAAGATAAACCATAAATAGCACAATCTTTTTGCAGTCAGTTATAAACACAGGTCTGTGTAGATGGGTGATCATTGTAGATCAGTGGTATAGATGGGATCTGTGCGGGCCTGAAGAGCAGCAGACGTAGATCAGTTAGAGTATGAATGCAGAGAAGGGGGTATTTGCACTTTAGTGTGTGCAGACAGTGTGCTTTCCATAAATGCATATTGCACCTGACATTGCTTATCATGCAATAGGTGAGCTTCAAGGTTATTCTGACCTTTTGGAGGGTTTTTCACAAGTGAAGCATGAACCTCAGTCTTGATATAAATGGAAACAAAACTACCAGAGATGTCACCCTTGATTAGCAATCAGATGAGGAGTTTGCTGAATGTAAGGTTGAAACACTGAGAAGATATAAGCAAAAACTAAAAGGGCCTTTTTATTTGGTTGGTTAGTTAGTTTTAAACAGCAGGTAAAAATTTAATTGAAAAGGAGGTATTCTGAGTTGTTTTCATGTATGAGTACACACATCAGAATTACCAGAGTGTAGAATGCTCTGGTCTGTTTGAAAGACTTTCCTATCCTACAAAACATAATGTTGGTACCTCTGAATGTTAAGAGATGCTGGGGAATCAGCCCAGGTTTGCTTCCATGACTTTGTGTCATTGACTTAAAGGGCTTTTCTAAGTAGATCAGTCTGTTTTGCAGGCTTTGTAACATGGCAAAACTTGAATGGAAATACCAGGGAGCCCTACAGCTGACGGCAAAAGAACAATTTTAGCAGTATTAACACCTTTGTGTACCTACTGACAATGCTAGGGTGTACTTCTAGATATAAGCAGCTTTTAATCATGTTACAGCTCAAAATGAGTAAACAATATACTGTGTATATTTGTGTAAAAAAAGTCAACTGATAGCAGATTTGCTATGATTGATAGTTGTGGAGCCTGTTTTCATTTGCCTCAGGTAGAAATACCTCTGTTAACCCATAGAAGATGTATTACTTGAATGTCAGAAGCACCACCTGTGTTATTGATGTGTCAGTGCTCTTTTGGAACTGTATCTGCTAGGAACATACGGTGTTCTGGTAGTCTGCTAAGAAAGGCATTACAAGAAAGCAGGCCGGTAGCAGCTGCAGACTCTCCTCTCTGTGACATCCCTCCATGCAGCTTTTGGAGTCACTGGAGTAGCCACTCTTGTTTATACCTGATTTAATCCTTCCATATAAGGCACTACAGATAGGCAGAGGTCAGTGCTGTGTTTGCTTCTCCTTGCAGTGAAAAAAATAAATGGGTCATAATTCCAGTTCCCTCAGACAGTTGCAAAACATTGCCCAATAAGAAATTAATAGAATGACCTCAAGGATAGAGAGCCAAGAGTAGGCAGCTGACACCCACTCCATCTCATTTCTCTAGGAGACCAGGGATATCTTCATTGTTTCAAGTGAATTTCCTATGATGACAGATGTCAATTTGAGATTTGTTAAATTGAAGAGAGCTTTTCTCTTAAATTAGTCCTGTGTCACCAGCATCCCTTTTTTTCTAAGTTGTGTTTCATTCTTTCAAATGAAGACAGTTTTGCACATTGTCTAGTGACTTTTCCTGACATATAAGGTACTTCATCATAAAGAATTGTTTGTAGTTATTTGGTAGAAATTCATCAGCTGTTACTTACTGGATCTTAAAAATGATCAAAATTACATTCTGTTGTTGTCTGTTTATTTGAATTATTTGCAACATCTTCACACGTCTGGATCAAGTAGCTCTTTCAGCTTCAAAACAGACATGATTACAGCGGGCTGGCTATGGGTAAGAGGGGTAAATGCGAGAAGGGTAGAGGAATGACATGGAGAAGCTCTGTTTAGTTGGTGGATGGCAGAGCTAAATCTTAAAGAAGTTACTGTGCTGAGGAATTTTGTGTAGCGCCATCACAAACTATTTATTCAGTCAACGTTCATGGTGTTGGATGCATGTCTGTCCATACTGGAATCTGACAAACATGTACATTTCAGTGGTTCTTTTGAAATAATAATAATAAAAGAAATAAATAAATTAGTGATTGTGGTGGGAGCATAAAAAGCTACGCCAACTTTCTGACTGGAAAAGAGGAAGCAGTGTTATGAACTGCCTGAAGAAATAAAGAATTTCCTTTCTTCTTCACATTGAGAGCAAATGCATCACCTTCATACAGGGCAGAGATACATTTCAAGTCCAGATTTACTTCTAATAGCAATCCTGAGTGCTTTGGAGTTAAGATGTAGACTTGCTTTGACCATTTTGTCTCAGTTGTTTCCATGCTCATGATCCCAAGAGCAGAAAGATGCTTTATAAGCTTTGCCATCTACTTTTGGCATAAAATTAGCCAAGACTGAACTCCTGGAGTGCTGCTGGAGTGGCAGGGAATGTGATTTTGTATGGGTTAGACATGCAGTGCAAATGGTAATGTGTCACAGGATGGAAAACCATTCTCCCTCATACAGGAGAGGAACCTCTCCTTCCTCTCCCCCAGGGTACAGAAGGCTGTTTTTCCCTCTCTCCTTATGAGAAATATCCCTCTTTTGTGTGCTTAGGCTCATTGCTGAGGCGTCTCATTAGCACAGTCACTACACCTCCCTGGTGTGCTCCACTTCACCCACCTTTCCTGCCTCAAATCAGATCCCAGAAACTACCTCCACCCTCCCGCCTACAAAGTTTTTTAGTGCCCAGCTGACACACATACCAGTCCCCTGTGCCGAGGCTGAAGGCAGCTCTTCAGAGATGTGCTGCCTTGTGCCAGAGGGTCAACACCCACTTACCCAGCTTTCTACTGTATGGCACCCTAGGGAACGTGTTAGCAGGGCAGGCTGCTCGAGGAAGAGACCAGAAATGGGAATGTAAGGAATGTTAGCTAAACACAAA